GTGGTGGATTATCCTCGATATCACTTGAGGTGGCTCTGTTCTCCCACTGTGCATGGGTTAGTTCATAGCTCTAATATCAACGAGCATCCCAAGATGGTTTCTGCCTGCCAGTTTCAAGTAGAAAGCAATGCCCTTGTGCTCAGCCTTCTTCCCAGCCACAGGAATTTGTCACCAGGTGACAAGTGCCACTCCAAAGGAACGATGTCAGAGGAAACCTCCCATCCCTTGGCTGATGAAAGCCACTCTCTGCATGGAGTCAGGTCAGTGCCATGAGCTCCAAAATGCAGCAGATGTCAGTACTTCTTGAATCCCAACTGTTGCTTTTCACTGTAATCACCCAGAAGAAGGTACTGAGAGGTCCAGAATGAACGTAGCTCAGCCCATTGGCCCCAGAATCATGTGGCTGGAACACAACGAGATAAAGGAGGAATCCCACCATCAAACTGGACTTGCTAAGGCAGAACAGCTGACAAGGGAGTACCAAAGCTGTCAAATACTTACTTGCCACAACCAGTATATTTCTGCTCTTAATACTAAAAGTGTGTCAGAATTTCCATTATAAAGCACTTATTTTGTGGGTTTATAGCTTTGCCATAAAAATACACCTTAGGTTGAGTCTTGGCATGCAGCCATTTGGCAGCTTCTAACACCATATTAATTCAGAACATCCAGACAACGTTTTTAAACACCAGTATCTGAAACATTGGTGCTTCTCTTTTCTTTTTTCCCCTGCCCAAGTACCTTGTTTTATGCAGGACTTGCAGAAATCAAAGATGGGTGAATACATTTACAACAAGAATCTGAAATGTCTGGAAGTCCTCTTCAGAAGTGCGGGCCGTCTACAAAATTCCCTGGGCAGATGGTAAGGCTGCATGGAAACCTCCAAAAATGAATTGACAAGATCCCTGTCTTGTCCAACAAACTGCTTGCCATCGCTTGGAAATTTTAGTGGAACAATTTTGGCTAGCCTGGAGCTAGCTGCCCAGTACTTAGGAAGATATAAGCTAAAATATCAATTTTGGAATGAAATCAAAGAATTTTAGGTCACCTTTGAAATCTAGCTTAACAAAAAAGACTGTGAGCTGATGATCTCGGTGAGATAGGAAATTAGGAGGAAAATATACTTGTAACTTGAAATTTACCAATAAATCAGCTCAAAAAATAGAACACCACCTACTTTCGAGCTATGGGCTTCATAAGAAGCACATATGGTCTATTCAAATCCCAGCCCCACTGAACGACTGGAAAGATGGACAGAAACTGGGATTCCTTGCAGCCAAATCCTGTAACTCAAGTACTCTTTATAAAATGAGCGATGAAAAGGGGCGATCCTAATCTGATCCCTGGCCTTACTGTACAATTAGGAAAAGTGATAATCTTGGTTTGTAAAACAAGGAAAATTGGCAGCTGTGGAAAAATTAAAGGAAGTCGTTCAGTTAAATATTAGACTTATGAAAAAATTGGCCATAAAAGCTTTCTGAGGCTGGCCAGGACAGAGCCTCAGAAATGTCTAGGGAAGGTTCTTCAATCAGTTCAGGAAATGTGAAGACATGAAGCTGAAAGTGCTGAGCTCCAAAGGAATGAGGATAAAGCTCATAGCTTTTCTCTAGATTTGGTCAGTTTACTTTTTGAATGTATATGAGGATCTGTGAAATGAATGGAATAAAGCACCCTTTCTCAAACTGAAGTTATTGGACTAGGCAGACTGAAAAAGGATAAACTGGTTGCAAGCAGAGACAGTGACTGCTGGGAGACATGACACATCCCAACATTGGTAAAATTGATTTTGAAAATTAGAGCTCTACTTCAGAGCAAGAAATGTGGCTAAAATGATGGATAAGCTAAGGAGGGACTTGGATTTCATTATGCTTAGTAACAGAGTTTTAAATCTGCTGGAAATGCTGCCTTATAAATTAAATCTCCAGAAATTTTCTGTAATTATGTGGCCCAGGTGAAGCGCAGTGTCTGCACATTGCACAGATTTTCCTGGTACTGCAGTTCCTTGTGGCAGGGCAGAGGAAATCTCATTTTAGAGGCCTTTGCAGAAGTGTTAGCTGCTCATGCCCTTGCAAGTCTGAGGAAGAGCTTAATCATCTCCCATGCTAATACACTGAAATGCTGAACTGACTGCAAGTTACACTGGTCCACGCCGGACCCCCCTGCTCTGCTGGGACCGCTGAGGCTGGAGTCTCTGCTGCCATTAGTGCTGCTGTTAGCAGGGATAAAGGCATGACTGTGCCACGGTCAAGGCTTTGGCATACTTTTTAGATTCCCTGAAAGTTTTTTCCAGCTAAAAATCAGTTCTCTGGATCCAATAAATACACAGCCTGCACGCAGTGGTCTACCACAGATTGATGCTGAGGGAAAGCAGCCCATTACCCCGCACCTTGCTGTTCAGCGAAAGCAAAGCAGAAAGAAGTGCTACTGGGCATCAAGGAAATGAATGGGGATGGGATAAGTGAGCTTTCAACAATTTTTGGACCTCACTTGAGTTCTGATTAAAGTCAAATGGTGGCCTGACCAGAGCTTGCAAAGCCAATAACAGCAACAGATGAGGGAGCAGCCTCCAGAGCAGGACTTGGACCTACTGTGGTTTGAAAAGATGTGTTTTGGCTCCACACCTGTGAGCCATAGAAGATGGGGAGCAGGTATTGTGCAGCATGCCTGTTCTGCATTATCTCTAGATGATATCTCAGTATGAAAGAAAACACTCAGACAGGACCTGATGTGGTGGCAAATGGTCTGTAATGTGCTGAAAGTCATCAACCTGGAATCAAACCTCAAGGCAAGTGAATCATTGCAGGCAGAAGTAACTCATTATGAGTCCGCAGTCAACCAGGGAATGGCTTGCACAGACAAAAAGCAAATGGAGGCAGGACAGCCCCAGCCAGCTCCCCAGACAGTGGCAGCCAGGTAAAGGCTTGGGGTTTTCTTACAGATTACTGCTACTGCTATTTCAGACAGCTTATTTGTGGCTTTATTAATGCTGTAAAACCACTGCATGCATTTGGTGAGAAGGAAACCATTTCACTGGCCAGTATGGTGTGATTTAACATCTTCAGTCTTTGAAAAAAGCCATGTTCCTGCTTCCGCTCCTGCCTCCCACATTTCAGACACCTTCCAGGCTGGACACAGATGCTGTGATGGGGGCAGCATTGACAGAGCAAATCAAAGGGCTTGAGAGGATGGTGGCTTATTACAACAAAACGTTTGTGTTCTCAGGAGAGAAATTAATATTCCACTCAAAGAACATCTGATAGTGGTTAAACCTATAGAACATTTTCACTGCCGTCTCTTTGAAAAAGGTTATACTGCTTGGACAGAGCCTCAGCAGGCAACAGGGGTCCAGCAGACACTGCCCTGATGGACGTCTGTCTTCTCTGGGACAGACGTTGGGCTGGGGGCAAAGGTGTCCTCCCCTCCTTTGGGGCTGAGCTGTGGGCATTTTAGTAGATAAGCATGGCTTTATTGTTCGTGACTTCCTCCTGCTGAACGTTTTGGGTGCTTTGGGCTTAATTTGTTAGTGTTCAATAAGGAATTTTGACATTAAATTCTCCTCTCTGGTTGTAGAGAAGCAAAGAAGATCTGTGCCTTAGTAAAACATAGATACTGACTGACACGTCTTTTTATGTCTAACTATCTGTACAATATTGTGGTAGTTTCTTGGGTCTCTGTGTGTGAACTAAGTAACAGTCTGATTATTTCCTTGCTTTTTTTTGTTTTTTTGTGCTATTGCGAACGCGTTCAGTTTTAAAGTTATTGTATCTAAAGCAGTACTTTCCAAAGCATGTCATGTTTTTCGTACTTGGACCATCATAGAGCTGTCACGTTGTGTTTCACTCAGTTCCTTGATGTGCAGCAACAGAGCGTGATAGCAGGGATCTGGAAGGAGAGGCAAATAAGGTCATGGTTTTGAGAGCATTTCTTTTAAAAACAGCTATCTGAAGTGTTGGACATCATAGGGAGCTGAGAACAGAGAGGACAAAAGCAAAAAAAGAGTACTTCTGAATAATCTTATTTTAATGTGGTTGTTTCATTGCAAAGCTATTTAAAGCTTTCTTCACACAGCAGGAGGAATTGCATACTGGAAAATCTGTTCTGTAAAGATTTTCATCACTTTGTTAAACCTCAGCTGAATGAGCTTGAATCTAAATCAGTAGCACTGTGAAGTTACTATGAGTTGTCCAACAACACTGACCAGTATCAGCAGAGGAAACGTTTAATGACACGTGAAGCAGTTTTGTTCCACGTGCCAGCAGTTGATACACGCTTTGTATACAGTGTAAGTGCCAGGTCCACTTTAAAACCAAGAGTGGGAAGGACAAGAAAACTGATGGGACATGGGAAGGCTTCCTGCAAAAGCAAGGCTCTGCTGTTATGCAGTAGGCTCGGCTGTTATTTGTGCGGGTGTTGGGGTGTCTGGTCTGGCTGTGCTTGGATGTGCTTGGATTCTGCTTCCAGAAGGCAATCGGTGCTTTAACAATTGACCCGGTGGGGGCTGCAGGGTTTCAGGTTTGTGTGCCTCCACCTCCGTTCTCATTTCAGCCTTATTGTGCCTGCTTAGCTCTTCAGTGTCTTGGCGCTCTTGATGGGCTCAGTGCTGGGCACTGTGGTACGTGCCATGCTGGATGTCAGGGATGGGTGATTTCTTCTGGATCCCGGTGAGCTCCTCTCCTCTTTGCAGAGCAGGGACTTAAACAGCCAGTGCTCCGCTCCAGCAAAGTGCTGAGCTCCCTCGCAGCAAAGCACCATGCAGAATGAGGCCGAAGACCATGATTGAGGAAGAGGTGTGAGGAGAGCTTTATTAGTATGGCACATATTTAAACCATAGGAAAGCCCACAAATGTTACTCATTTTAAGTGTATTTCACACTTTTTGACTATTTGAAATAACCACATTTGTAAAAACTTCTTTTAATGAATAGAGCTCTTTATGTACAAAAAAGCAAACCTTTTTTTCCCCTTAGGTACAGTACTCTTAAAATACTATTTCTTTTGTAGGTCTGGCTGCTCCCATCGTCTGTTCGTTATTGCTTACTGCTACAGAACCCTCAAAAACGGAAAGCAGGCAATTCAGATTATTCTTTATCTTGAAAGATTTTGCTGATCTCTACCACAGATTCATCAGGACTAATGAGACAGATAAGTAAAGGATTTTGTTATTACATGCTAACTCCATAAAGATACTCCGGGGTAAGCGGAGAGGTGGTACAATCTTTCTTGTGAGTGGTGGGAAAGAGCTACCTGGTTACAAATTCTGGCCCCACTGAAGTCAGCAGGGGTTCTGCCATTTGCCTTCAACAAAGCAAAGGGTTTCACCATGTGTTTAACAGGAATATTTTGCAGGAACTGTTGTCAGCATGCTAGTAAATAGACCATTTTAAAATTTGCCTTCTTTTTCACATTTGAATGTTTGTTCACCTCGCCTATGCTTGATGTAATTTGATACAAAAAATTCCCCTCAATTTCATTTTATTTCAGGTAGGTTTTGAATTGGTTCATTTTTTTACTTCTTGTGCTTTTAGAGACCCCACGTGGCAATGTCTGGGCTAAAAACACAGTAGGGGAATGTTCACATATTTTGTATTGCTGGGATTTAAACTGAATTAAAGAAAAACAGAAATGAAAACATTAGCATTTGTTTATGTAATTAGAAAAAAATCCCATAAAGCTGGGCCCGAGCTAGCCGAGGATATCTCTGTAATGAACACAAACCTTTACCTTTTTGCAAGCACGCCGTAACTGCAGAGCTGCACATATCATATCTACCGTATCAATGACATTTTGGAGTATGTAAAAAAAGCCCACTCTATTTGTCTTAGGAAATATCGAAAACTTTTATAGGGAATTTGGAAAATATTTTTTGGCCAGCATGAAAGGTGAAATCTTGCAGCACAGAGTACAGACATGGGCACAGAGACTGAACAGACGGGCTGCTGTAAAACAACCATTTAATAAGGCATTAAAATGCCATCGACTTGGACACATAAAAAAAAAAAGCTATGAAAACAAATGCCTTTCAAATAATTAGGATCTTATGCTTGAGACCAGTGTTGATCTCTATGCAGAGATTTTCCTGCTGAAATCAGACCAGCCTAAGTCTGATCGTCTAAGGAAGGAATTAGCAGCGTATAAATCGGCTGCTGCTCGAGATTTTTCTGTTTCTGCCATACATAACCATTCATTTAAATGGCCACTTCAGACTTTCTATCTCCTTCTTTCTGTTTCCTAGAGTAGTTTGAAACGCATTTGACTTAGTACGCCAGGATAATTTTTTAATTGAATCTTGAATTTTTATCAAGAGTACGTGAAAGGGTTGAATTACCAGCTCCTGCCACACTGCATAAGTGAACCTGAGCCAAATGCAGCCAGAAATAGCAACAGAACCCAGTTCTGTTCTCCAAAACATAGTGTGACTTTGCTTTCACTTGAATTAAGGAACTTGGTGTTTATAATGCATCGAAATGATATAAATCTGTCCTTCAACTCACCTGTAATGTATGCAGACACAAAAACAAGAAGTAAAGTTGACCATTCATGTCTGTGTATTTACTCCTGGATCACTGCTGTCATGGTTGTCCTTGCCTGGATACCTCACAGAAGATGCTCTAGTTACACAGAGCATGTTTAAAACAACAGCATCCGTGACAGTGTAGATAACATTATTAAAAAAAAAAAGTAAAAGCGATGTCCGAGAGATGAGCATCAAATTCTCAACTTTAAGCTGGAATTTAATAACATTTCACAAAAGAAATGTTTAATGAATATTGCTTTTCACATACAGTAAAGTTACTGTTTTGATCTCCATTTTGCTGTGCATTAACATCGATAACCTTGGATAAATGAACGCACGGTCCTTCTGCATTTTGTCTCGTTTCCTGTTCTGTCCTTAGCCTAAGGCACAGACTTTTAAACCTCTAATTTTTCTTTCAGATCCGTAATTCCAAGTACTCTTAGATTTTCTGTTTTTAACACAGGATTTCACACAGATGAGAACCCTGTGTGTAACTCCCATAGCTAGGCAGAATAGGAGATCTTTCTCTTGATATTATGATTTCTTCTATTAATCGGTTTTATATGACTTTCTGCTAGCCTTGCTTTTAAAGGTGTGAAAACTTGCACTGCAGAGGTATTTTATAGATTGCAACCATAATTTCTGAATAAAATTCTAAATAACTGGTCTGGTTATAAAGCTTTGGGCACAATTTTTAGGTTCCTGGGAACTGCTGTTAAACCTCTGTTGCCAATTGGCTAGCAGTACATCCCAATTAGTGACCCCTCTATCTAGCAGTAGCTGTATGTGAGTGATTTTTTATTTTTTTTTAAGTCAGTCGTAAATGATTAGTCCAAAAGAGTAGCATAAAACTTCGAGCGAGTCCCCTGCAGGAGTCGGCTGGAGGAAATTAAAGGATCAACAACACAAGGGAAGCACTGAGGCAGGATTGTTCCAGGCTGCAGCCACAGGCTTTCACGTGCACTCAGGAAATTGACTTCATCAAAAGCTGAGGATGCAGGCGTGAGGATGAGGAGGATAATACAGGTGATGATTCTAAATCATGGCTCAATATCACAGCGTTTTCCAAGGGAGAGGTTCCGTCCCGCCCTGAAGAAAGCAGGTTTTCTATATAAAAATAGTCTCCTCCTTATGAATTAATAAAAGTTGGGCACAAATCTGAGCTATAAATCTAATATGACTTAATAAATAATGAAGACTCAGTTTCCCCAAAACAATATCAGTTGGATGTGGGGTTTTTTTGCAAAAGAAAAACATGACTCCTTATAAGCTCCACTGCTCAGTACAGAGCGTTATTGCCCTGTGCACGTTTGTTTGTGAGAGCTGTAAAACAAAGGACTTCAGAGTGCTTCAGACTTACAGGCAGGCAAGGAGTTTTCTTTAATGCTTCTAAGCAAATTCTTGCTGCAGAAATTTGGATATTCTGGGTCCATGATGAAGCTGAAACCTTCCTAGTGTAGTTGGAAAGAGTTGCAAGAGGGGAAATGCATAAATCTACATCTGGAGCCAAGTATGCTGGGAAGGCGTAAAGAGATGGGGAAGCAGGAGTGCCAGAACAGGGCTGAGAGCATGAAATTCTGCAGGGAAAAGTGGGAGAAAGAAAGAGGAATGTCCCAGGAATGAAGCTCTTATAATGTTCAAATCTTTCCTCGGAAGTAAAAGTGTGGAAGGCTATAATCCAAATAAGGAAATTAGAACAAAAATTAACAATATTCAGCTATTCAGATGTCAAAAGAAACAGCAGAGTTATTGGTGTTAGAGGTTATTGCCAGGAGGGAAAAACTCAGCATGCTTTGGGTAATTAAGCTTCATTGGAGAGCATGGATCCCTTCTCCAGGTAAGAAATGCTTTTATAACACGGCATCTTTTGCTATTGTAATTAAACACCACGGACTATTCTGCATATGAAGTCTTAAACGCTTTAGTCCTTTATCATGGGATTTTACTGGCCAGGCATGTGTGTTCTTATGGCAAAAAGCATTGGCTGCTATAAAAAAAGAAACCCAAACATTTCTTTTTATGACTTGACTTGCTGTATTTTTATATATATTGAGCCAAATCCATCCCTTGTGGAGCTGAGTTGAAGCCAATAAGGATAGATTTGGCCCATGTCTATATGAGAAAGGTGGTGACAATTAAAATATATTGTTTAATAATGAGAGCTATGGTAGTGAAGTGTCTTTGTGTCTATGAAATTATACACCACGACACCACACTGCCAGTAGAGAGTGGGGCTAGCAAAACAAGTAAGAGCAGTTTCTGATGGAAGGGCAAAAGCGCTCTAACTTTTATTATTATGATTAAATATCACAAAGGCAAGACTAATTTAGGTAACATCTCCAGAAGTCTCATTTATAGTGTAGTATTTTGCCACAGTGTATTTTAAAATATTTCTTGCATGTCATTATATGTAGCTAGCAAGGGTAGTATGACTGGCTGCCATTAGCAGTAAGTAAAAGAATGGTTCTTATTTCATTTATATTTTAGTGATTTTCAGTAATGCTGCAAAAAGGAATGCATCCTATGAAATGAAATGTGCAGACAGCCATTATTATCACTTTATATTGGTAGTTCCCAGCGGTTCCTCTGTGTGAGGCGTTGCACCAGCACATGAAATCCACTGCTGATACCCTGAAGATCTTCAGATCTTGCCTATTTAGGCAGTGAGATATGCAAAGCTTTTTGCACAGACAACCAGGTCATCTGTACAAAACCAGAACAAATGAGTTTTGTTTGGCTCCTTGACATGGTGGGTTGCAGGAAGCAAATCTTCTCTTGTATCCCTGTTGGTAAGTTGTAACAACTTTTATAGCCAAAGCCCTACTCAACTGCCTACTGACTTGTATCCCTTTACTGAAGATATTTGGGTAATGGATACTCACAGCCAGTAATCACAGACTTAAACCCAAGCTCTTCAAGGGGGTTGCCAGAAAGCTGGGCTCAACCATGCAGCTCTGTAAAGAAGCTGAGCACTTAGAGAACACTGGCCAGCAGCAATGGAGCCCAGGAGCAATGGCCGAAGGCAATCAATCTGTTGCCCTGCTGAGCTAATGGGCTCAAGCTGAAAAGGTACCTCTTATATGAAAATAATGGGACTTGGGAAGCCTTTCACCCTCAAAAACAGAGGAAAAGAAAATGCGCAGCAGAAGTTCTTTTTTGCTGTAATTATTACTCATTCTGAATCTCTATCATAGAAATCTGGCCTTTGGCACTGGATTAAGATAATATTTTATTAGAAGAAAGCATGATTCATCAAATTGATGCGTTGCAGTATCTGTGGAAAGGAAAACTGGGAAAGACACAAAAGAAGCTGGGCTGTGGAAAACCACTGCCAAACAGAGAGTCTCAGACTGCACTAAGAAACAACAAAAAAGAAAATATTTCCAAAGAAACATCTGAGCACAGCATTACAGCCAAGTGAAGAATTATTACTGCATTAGGCTTTCAGAGTGGGGCATGCAATGTATGTGGTAGGAGAATACCCTGTCATTTTGAAATTAAAGAAAAGTGCATGTGTTCCACATCAAAACTCAGTTCCTCAGAAGGCTTGTTTGCATGCTGCCAGTTGCTTCTGCTCTTTGTCAAGAAGAATATTTTTATTTTCTAGTTACCATTTTCTCCTTCTCTCTCTCCTCCCCATCATTTTCAAGTTCACCATTTCCTTGTGTTTATTTCCTTGCTGTTGACTTCCTGCTTCCATTCTTTTCTGTCTTGAGTATGAATATTGATTTTCAGGCGATCTGATTAAGTGCTTTGCAGAGGTGAGTAAAGATTATTTTCATTTTGTGCATGACAGACACAAAGCAAAAATTAAGTAGTTTACTAATGGCTGTAAGCTGAATCATTGCTGAGTATATTAGGACTGGAAATCTTGAACTTCACTGGAATTCTTAGACAACCATTTAAAGCTATTTTTGAAATCTTTTGAGTTAATTGCGCAGCTTGCAGGACCAGCTCTTCCTTGTGCACCATCTTGGGAACAGGAAACACAGCATGCACCACACGTTCCTCCATCAGTGCCATCCTGTAGCCAACCCTGCTTCTTCCCACCTGTGTCACACTGGGGCAAATGGTCAGACGATCCACAGGGGCGCTCACTTGCCTCTCTCTATATGTGCAGTCTTTGTTGAAGGCTGAGATTTGCCCTTTTGCTTTTCCATGCACACCCATGCAGTCTGCTTGCATTAACACCTCCCACCTTTGAAGTGCTTAGGCAACATTTACACAGAGAGTTAAACCCCATCTCTCCTTGCATGTTCCGAATGAAGAAATGTAGAAATACTAAGGGACATCCATTCAAAAGCCTGTGTGACAGCCATGTGCTCACTTCTAGCACTGTGTAAACGCAGTCTTTTTCTGTGACGCTCGACAGAAATCCCAGTGGAAGTTTTTCCTGCCTCTAACCTGTCTACTTTGTTTCGTAATGATAAATGATGGGAAAGCCTGAGGGAGGGGGGAACTATCTAAGCATTCAACTGATTGTGTCTGTAGAAGGATGGGAAGGGAGAATGTTGATTCATTTAAAACAGAACTTTAATATGGCTAAAATCTTTGATATTTTTCTCATTTTGATCATTTTTTGCATTCTTGTAAGTAAGCTTAAGGCTAAATCATTACCCAAAGATGTCTCATCGGATAAGACAATGTGGTTACTTTTATTCTTCACTTTAAATTTAATTGATTACCTTTCCCACTTCCAGTTTGTCCTGCACACAGTCGCTTGGTAGCAGTCACCTTTGCTTTCAGTCAAGGTATCCATTGCGTGCATGCTGACTGTTTCCCATTACCTCTGCAGCACAAAGCAAGTTCATCACCTTTCCAGGATGTCTTGTGATTGATTCCTCATGTCTGGGGAAATATGCTCTAAAGTTTCAGGCTAAAATGAGTGCTTGGATTTAGTGTGGATAATCAGTGGTTTAAGACTTATTCTTCTTATGAACTATTCATCTATTTATGAGATACACAACTAATATTAAATATAATATAATATGTTAAATTTAAAATGTTATTGTTCCCTCAGTAGCTCTCAGACGCACTGGGCATGACTAAACCACGATTTGCAGAGTGTGTCTGCGTCATCCATCAAACACAACTCCTCTCTGCCTCAGACCTAACCTGTGCGCAGCAAAGCCAAGGCTGAAAGCCTTGAAAAGAAGATCAGAGGCCTGGTCTTGCCATGCTGAAATCTATAAAAGTTTTCCTACTGACTTCAACAGAAACAGGACTAAGCCTTATGATTCTGGCAGGAAAATCTGAGAATATTCCTTTACAGCTCTCTACTGAATGTTGAACTCCAAAATACATTGTTGTCAGCCTTATGTAAGACAGAGACTGTTAAGGAAAGACAGTAGTTTTGCACATACTGTTCCCTGCACATGTTGTTCTTCAGTAAATATTTATCAAAGGATGCGTCCATTCCTGCTGGCAGCGTCCGAGGCATTGGACAAATTTGGCCTGATTTCCTGCTGTCAGTGCAAACCTCCCAACTAGAAGCTGAATTTATCAAGTTTCGTCTTTCAAAACTGTTAAAATCATTCTTATCCAAGTAGATAGTGCTGACAAAAATGGTCATTCGATGAAATACTCTTTAAGAAAAGGCACGTCCTCCAGCTTGTAAGTACAGCCCCACTGAAAATATTCATCAAAACTGTAACAAAGCACGGCTGAAGGCCAAAAATTTGTATTTGCTGAAAACTAAGGAAAACGGCAACAGAAAGAAAACCAGATGAAAGTTTGTTGGCACTTGCAGGATACTTGTTCAGGCCTCTTACCCTCTACTATTTGTCTGTGGAACTAGACTCTTTTGACCTGTTCTAGCTATTCCTCACATGTTCCTTTCAGTGTGTTTTACTTTTCTTTTGCTTGAACAAGTTTATAATTAACATAAAATAAGCCTGATTTTAATTGAGTTAGCATTATCAGCACTTTGCACTAATTTATATACCCTTTCATTTCCTCTTTTAAGCTCTTTTTAGGTCAGACTTAGGCTTGGGGCTGTGCTTTGGTGCACACTGTGCAAAGGATGTGGTGGCTGAGCAGAAAGGGCTTGGATCCCAAAGCCTCAGGGCTTACTACCACCAGATGCCTGAGCTGAAATCTCTCTTTTGGAGTGCAGTTCTTCTGGAAGAGAACCTGAGGAGCTGCAGCTGCGCCTTCTCTACCTATGCCTGGTACTTACAGCACCCCGTGGCTAAAGGGACCTGTGGTCAACTCCTCAACTCCTGACGGACACAGCCTGCAGTGTACCATGGGCTGGGAGAGTTGATGGTTTGGAGGAGACTGTTCCACCCGCATGGGAATAATTAGCATTGCAAGTACTGTGAGGCCCCAGGCCACTGCCCAGGTCATGCAGATGGAAAGAAGCAATGTGTCCAAGCCCCATGCTGGCTGCTAATGGCATACCTCAGGGATACTGGGACTCCTGGGAGCATTTCTCTAAACTCTGTGCTGTGAAGAACAGCTGGCAGTGGCAGCGGTCAGGGAGTGGCTGCTACCCAGCCCTGCTGGCACTGAGGAGGTGGCTTTGTGTGTGCCCCTAGGGGGGCTGCATCTGTATGAAGATCTGGAGGTTTATGCTATCTTTTTATTATTGAAAGCTTGTTACTTCAAACCCACCATGACTGCTGCGGCTCAGTCCCAGAAACTGTCAGTCAGGGATGCTTTCTGGCTGCCATTACAGCAGGGGCTCACTGACAGACAGGTGCCTGCCCTCACTAGGCCTCATTCGGCCTCGCTAGGCTTTGCAAGGCCTCGCTAGGCTTGCTTGGCCTTACTTGACATCACTAGGCTTCACTAGGCCACACTAGGCCTCACTAGGCTGCATCACTGCCCAGACAGCTCTCAGCTGGGCCATGAAGCCCAAACCCAAGTTTAATTTTAAACTTCACCTCAATTTAAACACAACACAGGCTGCTCTGTACCACCCAGAGGCAACACAGGCTGCCTGAAGGCTTTTCCTTAGGGAGGGAGCTCTGTGATGGGCACCACCTGGGCAGCAGTTTCACACATGATATTGTTTTTGTTTTGAATTTGTGTCGGAAAAGGCTTTTTTGCTTTTGTTGTACCGCTCCCAACATTTTCTGCTCTTTCATTTTTAATATTGAACCTGTACTTTGTAGAAAGGAAATAGGTCAAAACTTTATTCTCCCCAGCAGCAAGTTGTTGGCTCATGACTTCTGTTACAACCAACTATCAAAGCAATGAAAGCCCTCGCTTCACATTGAATTTGGGCTGCCTCTTGTCACAGGCAAGTGCGTGGCACCTCCTTGGAGCAGAACCTTAAATTAAAATATTGTAAATTTTTTGCTGCTCCAGCAGTACTACAGAAATGCAAGTGGCCAAGGGGGGAGGAGGTTTTTTCCTCCTGCTGGAATTTTTCACTATAACCGTCCTCAGGGGAGTTCTCATCTTCAAAAGAAACATTCCTTCTATACAAGCTGCAAAAAGAATTATTTAATGACATCATAAATTAATACAGAGAGGCACAAATTTTCCAAAATGTGGAGAGAGAGAAAAAAAAAAAATTATCGTTTGCCAAAAACACCCAAGCTCTTCCAGACTTAGGCCTCTCCTGAGCCTGGGAGCTGCCAACGATACCAAACTGAACGGTGGGGTTTCTGGCATGACTCAAGTTTAGCTTGTTTAAATTTTGGCAAATACTCGTATTACTCATATACTCAGCAAACTGATACAAATATTTGTTCTATTTAGAGTGAAGTCCAAACTCACTGCTGGCACCAGTGCTGCTGGACTCGGTGGAACTAATCTTGCTCATGCCAGTATTAAATTTGGACATCTACCTTAAAGAAAAACAGCCTTTGAGGTATGGATTAGAATACATCAATGGAAAACAGAACTCGTGTGTAGCCAAGTTTTCCTCACTTGCTAATTTTTGCTTTAATCTGATTTGAACTGGACCGCGTTTTTCTGGACTTAGGCTGCTACTCGCTGTTATGATGCAGCCACCAGGTCAGAGCTGGAGCTGGAAAAGCCTTCGTGCACGTGAAGTTCTCTGCATTCTTGAGAAGTGAAATCTGTAGTAAGTAGAGCCTGGGCACAGTGAGCATATTTGATTGATTTTAGTGCTGTACAGGTTGCTTCTTTTTAATGATGCCTTCAGTTTACTGTTTCTGGTTTGTAAAGCAAATAGACAAACAACCAACCAGATGGGAAATGCAGACCTGCCTTGGGGCTTGGGTTCCGCATCTGGTCCCACCTGCGCTTTGCCCATGAGCTCTCTCTGGGTTCGGATTCAAAAACCGGGTTAGGCATTTTGCAATGAGAAGAGCAAGACGAAAACCACCACCCTTCCATTCCTTAATGCAGCCAAAGCATGCCCCAGGGGTGTGCTGGCTGAGGATCTCTGCTCAGTTCAGCTGTGGTTTGTAAGCAGCATGCTGTTTAATGCTATCTAAATGTTTTTATAAAGGTCAAGTAGGAGTGGGATCCTCCTAATTTAACTTTAGCCATTTAGAAATGAGAAATCTAGTCTGCCTGAGCTAGATTCCTCTGCGAGTGGAAAATATCAGCACTGCAGAATGATTCATCCCATTTTAATCTGCCCAGTCTCTCTCCATTGACTATAAAAGGGGCCTGGATGACCAGATTAGCATATACCCAAATTTTAGACACATATGCGCTCACTCAGCATTTTACAATCAGCCCTGCAGTGGCCATACCAGGTACTATTTTCATAGCTCACAGTGTGCCACAGGGCTGCACGCAGTGCCTGCACAGCTCCCGTGGCTCCTGGAGCAATGAATCTTGGCTGTGAGCATTGCTGCCTGTGTCCTCAGCCTCAGTCTTAAAACCTGGATTGCTTACAGGTTCAGGGCTCATCTGTACTGCCTTGACAGAAAGCTGCTGGGCCAATTCTTGTAGGAGCTGCTTCCAAAACTGCCTTAGATGCATAAATATTGTACTGAGCGACATAAAGTTTAAAAAAAAAAAAAAAAGTTAAAAAAAGAAGCAGTGACTACTTCTTGAAAAGGGCATTATTATTATTGGCCATAGTTGTGAAACAGGTAAAATATCCCAAAAAGAGTCAAGTGCACATCTGGATAAAGTGTGGGATTGGTGTAATTGGACAGCAGAAGGGAGAAGACAGAGCAGGCATCCAGTAATTCACCACGGAACAGCTTTATGCTTGTTATTGAAATGCAGCCAGAGACAGTTAATAGTAGTAAAATGACTTTATGTTCTGATATGTAAAATAAAATGTCCATGCTATGTAACAAACAGTTGAAAATTCCACACCACCTGTATCTATCGTGGTTTCTAATAAAATTTTATCTGTAGTATATATGGTTTTTATCTAACCAATCCTTAGTTTTTACATCGAAGGTGTGTAATTAAAAAAAAAAAAAATCTTAAATAGATGTCTTTCAAAAAAAAAAAAAAAAAACAAACCTTGCAACATTCATTTTTATTAAGTATTTCATTTGTAAAAAGCAAAGCTGAATTGGACACGTGGCCTGCATTTGTGATATATATATATATATTTTTATATATATATATAATATATATATATGTATATAAATAGCTATTCAGCATGCAAAAATTGTAGTGATTTTGAAAATCTGATTACAAAATGCACACCAGTCACACACCGTCTGCTGCATGTGTGTAGGTTGTCCAGGTGGGAGCGTGCCCTCCATGGTGGCCTCAGGGCTGCCCCGCTGCGAGCAGCTGCCCTCGATCATCAGCCTCTCCTCGTTGGAATGGATTCATCCAAATGCAGAAGTGCCTCCTGACTTCTAAGTGTGTATTTCAGCCTTTTGCCTTCGCCCAGTTGGGAAGCAAGGGGTGGGAAGCACAAACCCAACCCTCTGATCACAACTGAAGCTTCAGTACTGCGCTCTTTAGTGGAAAAAGCTCCCAGCGCCACCGCTCAGCAGCACGGAGGAGGGCACAGTCCCTGCTGCAGGGCTTTTCAGGTGAAATCAGAGAGAGATTTGTTCAGTAAGGAGCACAGCTTCCTCCCACGAGTCGGCTCAGCGATTCTCAGTGCCTCCTGGGGGCACTCTGTAAGCAAAGTCAGCAGGGATGGAGTCAGCTCAAGATGCTTCCACGGTAAGCAGTGGTAGCAACCTCTACACTGGTCATAGATTTTTACCTGCTTTACAAATAGTTGTACACTGTTAAGCCTGACAGGCAATGGGAATTCCTTCTGCTCCCACCCCACAATTAAGGACCGCTTCTCCATGCCTTCTTTATGCTGAAAACAATTCTTCCCAAGCTAGCTGCAAAGAAAAAAAAAACAAAAACAAAAACAAAAACAAAAAAAACATAGCACAAAAAGCGCGTTTCAGCTGAATGCAAAAGAAATGAAGGACCAGCAAATACAGAAACCCTTTCTGGAAAGTATTAGCGACTTTTAAGCTTAGATTTCATAAATATATTGCAATAAGCAAGTGTGATTTGATCAACAGAGTCTGAAGACACTGGGTATGTTCCTAATGCTGCAATTAATTTGCTGTTTGGCCCGGGGCATAACTCTTCACTCCTCAGTCTCCCACAGCCATGATCGATGGGGGAAGAAGGGACGTTTGAGCACCGGTGCTTCTCCTCTCTGTGCTGTGCTGGGAAGGTCTGGACTGGCACCTCACCACTGGCATCAGAGGAAAGGAAATTCCTGCAGGTGGACAGAGCCTAACACGTGCTGCTACAGCAGTCCTGGAGCTACACAGCCCAACGGATCGCTTCTTCTTTGGTTTTGGGGGGTTCTGTGACTTTGCCAACCGAGTACCATACAAACGAAGCTCGTGTTTTTCCCAAAAAGCCAAAATTTGCTCATGGACGTTTACTGTTACAGGCAAAAGTGAATGACAGACGACTTCACTCGTTAGTCCAGAAGATGGTTTCTATCAGATCGGTAATGAAGACGTGAGAATTAATTCATTCGGAAGTGAGTCAGAGGCTGATGGATCCAGGAGTCGGAATTCTCAGTGTGCCCGAGATGGGCTCTCCCCGCACGCACGCGCCCCTGGGAAATGCATGCTCGTCTCACCCAAGTGCAAGTTACCCACAGGTATAACGCTGCCTTAGCACCGTCCCGGAGCAGTAACGCAAGCTGCGGCACCGCTGGGCCCGCGGAGTCACCCGTCCGTCCAGTTCTCCACCGTCCCCATTCCTGAATGGTACTGCAGCGAGGACTCCCGCGACAAGGAGAAGCTTTGGGAGTAGAGGAACTCATTGGCAGCGTTGAGGTGTGGGGAAGGCGGCTTCCTCTCACACACGGACGGGTGCACTCTTTCCCTTGGGAAAGACGATGGGGGGACGCGCTCCCGAACCTGAGACTGGGCCAGCTGGTTGTAGACACTGAAGTGGCTGTTCCCCGGGGGCTGTGAGCCCTGCCCCGCGATGGACGGGAGCCGCGGCATCATGGTGGTGGCTGTGAAATGGGCTGGAAAGGGCTGGTAGGGCACAGTTTCCATTGTCTGAACACTGTAGCTGGTGTAAGGTGCGACTGAAGTCCACATATTGCAGCTCAGCGGGGGAGGCGGAGGCGGCAAGTCATCCACCGCCGGCACGCCTGCGATCTCAGCCCCTGACCCAGAGTACATGCAGGCTTCCCGTGGGGCCACCTCGCTGCAGTAGGACGGGCTCAGCATCTGCTGCTCGTAGGGTGGTGGGGAGCGGAAGTAGTGATCATCACCCACTGACGAGGAGGCCTCCAGGTAGGAACGCTTGCAGGGCAGGTCCAGGTGCCGCGCGCTTTCTGCGGGAAAAGAAAAAGAGCTCAGGGATGGGACTTCAGAATGCAGGATTGTTCCGCTACACCACCAGTGCTCTTTTTCAGACCGTTTCAGACAACGTGCAATACCAACAAGGTGTCGTGTTGCAAAATATTGGAGTAATTCCATCATCCTCCCAAGCATGCTGATGACATTTATCAGGGTAAGTAAGTGACTATTCTCACATCAGGGATTACTTCACCTTCATCCAGATAACAGAGGTCCGTGGCACTCCTGCAGCACTACTCCTGACAAACTCAAGAAGTCTCTGAAAGGGTCTTATCACAGCCCTCCTTCCTGTCAGTACCAAAATCACTGTACATTTCCCAGATATTCATGTCAAAAGCTGCAGAAATATCTCAAGATAAAGGAGACCTTTCCCAGCTGCCCATTCTTCTTCTGAGCCTCACATGCGGGAGCTCGTTAGCTGGTCAGAATGCTGCATTTATGAACTCATCTGCAAATTAAACATCTGCTAGAAGAACACATTTGCTTCACAGTCCTTATTTCTGGTGGTATTGAATTCCTCATTTGCCCATGATCAGAGGATTCTCACAGCTTAAATAAATTAGCAGCCAATCAGACATGCAAATAGAAGGATTTGGCTGCGTGAATAATTTTCCTTCTAACTTGAAACATGCCATGATCTCATCTGATCTGGACTAAAAGGAAGACAACGCAGCTACAGCTCACTTCAAGTTAGGACCAGCTGATAAGGAAAAGGATGCGTGGCCTCCACCGCCCCGCTGATTGCACTGGGATAACTACAATGGCTCCTCCTGCAAAGTGCTCATTCAGGGCAACTTCCTTAATGCTAATGGCCACATCAGGACATTTCAGGATAGATAAGGCCTCCTCCCTGCAAATATTAACTCGGATGACTTATCAAGTGATAATTTTTCAGTGTGGCTTCATTCCATTTAAATTATGTGTACTGATTATTGGTTTTGTTTTGCTTTTTTTTTTAGCTCAGAGCCTCAATTTGCCCTCTATGGGACAAAACCACTAACAACTGCCCAAAGATCCAGCTTGTGAACCCTGACCCTCCAAAACACTTTGATCACTTTGAAGATTAAGGTCTAAGAGACACATCCAAAACAAACTGGGATTGTGGGTAAATTTTCAGTGCTCTTAGTGCCTATTTGCTACAATGTTTTTCAGTGTAAACTCGAGTTACCTCTTCTCTTCAGGCAGTGATAGAAGAGCCCTGAATCTCTCTGTGCTGTGAAGGTGTTGAGTGACAGATCTTGAGTATCTGAGGCTGCGAACTGCATGTGAGCACCGTTCTCGTACTGGTAGTGTTGGAGGGTCTGGTGACTGCCATGGAGCGGGTTAACATCTGGCTTGGTGGAGAGCTGGCCATGGCTGGACACCAACCTCTGCCTCATGATGCTTTTGGAAATCACTGGGTATTCTTTGCTGAAGAAGGCGAGAAAAATATTACTGGTTAGACAGCATCAGCATGACCAGGAGGATGAAATATGAGTTTGGCTGCCCCAGCACATCCCCATCCAACGGCTCCACGCCTTTGCCAAGCACGATGAGCTAACCTTCACCATGCTCCGGGCGTGGACAAGCATTGCAACAGCACACGAAATGCATCACTCGGCTACAGGAAGAGCTTGTCGGAGGCAGGGAGGGCATGAAATGCCCTCAAATACAAGAAAATTGGATGCCCCACAGCATTCAACAGTTTTCTTCAAACAGGTGCAGCACGTTGACAGTGAGACAAGGGCAAAGGGGCTGAGCAGTGCATGCCAGACACCACACGGCTATGTGCAGCAGCCAAATTCAGCCTGCTGACCCAGAGCCCTCCCATCCAGCCTCCAACCATACCTTTGGAGCCGTGCCACGCGCAGGTCGCTGTCGTCGCTTCCCCTGAATCCCTTCGCAAAGGGGTTGTTCTCAATTTTCAGCTGAGTTATCTTTAAGAGAAGGAAAGCAAGCAGAAATCATGTGAAAACAGATGGGATGATGGGCGGAGGGGCTGAGTCCTCTGGTGCCCGGTGGGTTCCTTCAAAAGAAGACGTTGCCACCACCTGCACTGCGCTCAGCCACCAGCCCCTGCCCACGCACAGCAGTGACAGTGGGAGTATTAAGTTTATGGAGCACTTTGGGGACCTCAGGGATGAAAGGCACCATTGACCTCGATATTTTAAGGAGGTATTAAATAAGCGCTTTTGAGCCTTTTTGGTTAACCACGTTTGGGCAGTTGGTCATTTTACACCAATGTCTACAACTTTTCAAACAGGATTCACTTTGGTGCCTAAATACGTACCTTTTTTTCCCCTGTCTTACCATACCACACTCATCCAGGCTGCCACTCTGAGCCTTTTAACTGCTTGCTAATTGCAAAATCTTGCAAGGACTGTGTGCCTCAATGGACACACAGCCATCTGTTCAGGAGGAAGAGGCACCCAGGGATCACCGCAAATAGGACCGCAACCCAGTGCTGCCCTGACCCAATGCATGGAAAAGATGTGGAGAAACCCAACTCTGCAGTCAGTGCATCGCTGTGCCACACACCCAATGCACAGCCCCAGGCCCTTGTGTTTTGTGTTCCCCCCCCCCCAACAAAACACAAACACCTGGAGCCCCCTCCTACCTTCACCTCCTAACCAC